CTCTGGTTTGCTGTTAAGACGTTGTAACAGGGCAGCAGATGCATAGGAGCTCCCAGCCCCTGTGTCCAACAGCGCTCTGCATTTAATGCCCCCAGCTTTCACCACCACCACCGGATAAATCACTTTGCCTTCACCCTGTGCAACCAACATTTGTTGCACTGGTTGTGCCTCACATATCGATGTGTGATGTTTCTTCTTGCATCGTAGACATACCGTTTGACCCCGACAATCTGCCGCCTTGTGTCGAGCGCCCGCACAGTTGAAACACCGCTGTTTTTCACCCAGTATCTTCCTTCGATCTCCCACTGAAACCACCTTTTTGCAGTCAGTTGATCTGTGGCTAGGGTCATCACAATAAACACATGATCTCGACTTGTGCTCTTGCTGTCTTGTTTGGAAGTTCTTTGATCTGTTTGTCCATCTCTGATTTGATTTATCCAGTTCCTGATCTCGTTTAAGTGGATTTCGCTCCGTCCATTTCCTTAAGGCTTCAATGAGTTCGGGAAACTTCCAGTTCTGCCAGTCATCATCCGTCCTAACCAAGTCACTCCTGATACCTTCGAGCTTGTCTAAATTCATTCTAACATACCCCGACACCTCAGTCAATTTGCCCAGAGTTTCCAATGATTGGACACTTGTTAACAATGTCTCATAGAATGCATGGATCTTGTGTGGTTGGCTACCCGGAATAGTTGGTAATCCAATAATATTCTGAACGTACGAGTTGATAACTTCGCTATCTTTTCCATATTTGGACTTTAGTATGTTCTTTGCTGTTTCATAGCCCTCTGTAGTGAAGGGCAGACCATCTACACAAACACGTACTTTAGGATCAAGCAGTTCCTTCAAGTATGAAAACTTAGTTACCCGGGCAATGTTGGTTCCATCGATACCAGTCTGGAACTGATTCCAGAACCGCAGCCAATCAGTTTGCATTCCCTTGAACTTTGTGATAACAAGCTTGGGAAGTTTTGTGTACAGCTTCGACGCTTTCTCTTCATTCTTCGAACTTTCCATTGACTTCTCAAAACTAAGCCTTTGCTGCAACTTCGCTTCCTCAAATTTCATTTCCTCCTCGTATTTCTGATGACGTATTTTAGAAGCTAAGTCCTCTTCCTCCCGTTTGACTCGCTCACTTTCAGTTTTCTGAATATCCCTAATAACCGAGTTCAACTCTAACACACTAGCCTCGTATTTACTATCTTGCTGCTCCATTCTTTGATGTCTTCAATGTTCTCTCCTTTCTCTATCTTTGCTTCTTGTATCTTTGTTTCCAGGTCCTGGATCTCATCGATTTTATCTTGCAAGGTTTTTAACTTCCGTTCCATGGTGGGGACATGTCGTTTTTCTAGAGCTTCCTTTACACTCTCATTTGTAAATTCCAGCATTTGCAGTTTGGTATTTACCGATTTCAACAATGTTTCCATAGTTACCATATTAGGACCCTTGATGGGTAAGATTATATACAATTTGTTTGATCAATCCAGTTATATATTGAGGTCTTCAATTTCTGTAAAAGTGTCCCAAGCCCACTATTTATTTTATTTATTTATTTATTTGGCTTTGCCAACTAGGGCAGGGTCACCACAACAGCATATGCCAATTACTGTGGGCCCTTTTTATCTAACCCACCCTGTCAACTTTTCCTGTGGGAGGAAACCGGAGTACCCGGGGAAAACCCACGGCTTTCGGCAGAGCGTTGACTTTTACTCTTTTCACATGGGGACTGGGTTCGAGTCGCACAGAGAAGGTACTTAGTGAGACTCGAACCTGCAGCCTCAGAGGTGAAAGGCAAGTGCGCTAACCACTTGGCCACCGAAGCCCCCTTACTATTCGATAGATAATACTCTAGCTGATTCAATATTAAACCACGATCCTGAATAAACCTTTACATGATTCAGCCACTCATTAGAACCCAAATGATAAATTGTTTAATCACTCCAGCTACGTACTGAGATCCACCACGCTACAATATTTATACAGAACAACTCACCGTCCAAAATATTCCTTTTCGCAATTGATGTCCACTTCGAAAATCCCAGAAGATATGCTCGATAACCAATAACAACCCTTCGTTTAATGAATAAAAACTCCAGTTAAAGTAGATATTCGCTGATAAATTTCAATAAATATACTCACAACGTCAACACTAGTCGCACGTGTTACGCGTTAAAATCAGCACAAAATCCCGTTTAAATTCGATAATTCCTGTGTGTTATGTCCCATCGGCGGTTGCCACTTTGTCGGGATTGCTTCCCCGACAATAAAGAAATCACTCACTCACTAACGTTTACAAAAGATTATATTTTTCGCTTCACAAATCACAGAAATATCTCGCCCTTTTGAAATGTAAATTCTCTCACTGCCCCCCACAAAGCGTCCTCGCGTGGTAATCACGCGCGCGAACCAAATAAGGTTAAACAAAACGAACTACATGTTTTTCGTATTATAAAGTACTTAAAGGTCTCCGACAACATTCAATTTTAATTCCTCTTGGGAATTGTTTATTGTTCGTTTTCCTTGCAACTCCCAACGGTGGAAGAATGTGATTTCGACTGGCAATTTTTATTTGGCGAGTATGTGGCCATTTCTCCTCGATACGATTTAAAAAGAGTATCTTTGAAAAGCTAAATAATTGTTCTTTCGTCCTATGTAAAAATTGAATTGTTTAGCCACGTTTATGATGCACGACAGCCTGTTGAATTTCTGTAGCGTTTTTTCTGAGACACCCTGTACAATATTGCCCTCAGGCTGTGTTTTTCTCATTTTCTAATCACGGATAGCTTACACGCGTAAAAATCATCATGTTGATGCAAGTTGTTCAAAACAGGAGCGAACAATGTTGTGCTGCACCCCGTGAACAATATTGTTAACAAGTTGTTGAACCATCAACATTGTTGCAACTTGTTGACAATCATGTTAACAACTTGCAACAGTACTGATGGTTGAACAACTTGTTAACAATATTGTTCACGGGGTGCAGCACAACATTGTTCACTCCTGTTTGAACAACGCCGAACAACCTGATCAATTTTTACCCGTGTACGTTACCCAGTATAAAACCTCATAACCAGGGCTGTCAAGAAATACGTCATGTAAGCAGCATATAATGTACAGGACTGCGAATGTTACGCTGCAACATGCCACATGGCAACGCAGCTACAAAATTCAAAACCACTCACAATTCTTGGGCTTCATATGACGTCACAAAAGTGACGGGGGGTCAACTCTAAAACAAAACACAGTTATCAGGGTGAGTCGATTGTTAGCCCGCGTGTAGGCCCGAGGGAAGAATAGTGGGCCTGCAAGCAAGGCCCAGTATTTTGTACTTTCCGCGTTCGCCCACGAACGCGGCATTTTGATTGGCTGTTTGCTGTTGGATTCTATAATTAGATCAGTGATTCATCACAAAGGCTCTCGATAAGCTTAAAATTCGAAAATTGATCACTGTTTTCGATTAAAAATGGAACAAGAACGGACTGTTTATTGTTTACTTGAAGGAAGAGATGTTTTTTTTGCCGTTATGCCAATGCCCCAATGGGGATTGCTTGTCGATCGTGAAGTGTTCGGAATAGCAACATTACGACTAGGGTAAACTATAGTAAGCTTTACTTGAGTTTCATTAATTTCAAACAGACTTGATACGTTATATGTTCCTCAAGAAAATATCTTTTGGTTGATGTTGACTCTGTTCTTGCACTGAAGAAAACAGCGCTTTTCGCGGTGAAGATTTATAGGCAGTTGCATGTAAGCCTATTCGAAACACTTTGCGATTTGCAAGGCTTCGCTGAGAGAGCGAAACAGAAGACGATAATTGCCGTTTGAAACGAAACGATCTGGACTCTCAACGCTCTCTTCTTTTGTAGAGTTCTTTACCAAATGAAATAACTGAAATAAATTTCGTATTTTCCGCCGCCAACAAGAATTGCACACACGATCTGATAAGTCAGACAATTTATTTATAACAAATATGGCGACAGCGAAGCACACATTAATGCTGATGTGGTCGCACGACTTCCCTCACGATTTGAAGTTTGAGACTGGTTTTCTGTTGAAATTCGTCCTAATTTGCCTGTTCCGATTTTAGTTGAAAATGAGCACTTGCAAATTTGGCAATTACTGACTGCGTTGCTTGCTTTTTTGGAGTTAAAACACAGTCATTTATACATTGTTTCTATTTTGAATAGGCAGAGAAAACCCCGCAACATTTTAATGCGAGTTTGTTTGTTACTATTTGGGTTGCTGTCATTGGTTCTTTTTTTGACAATTGACGCGCGAATTGGGGCGTGTTATGAAAATGGGCGTTCTACAAAATACCGGGCCTTGCTTGCAGGCCCACTATTCTTCCCTTAGGCCTGCACGCGGGCTAGTCGATTATTCGTTTTATGTATTAGCCTTGTGTTTGGTGGCAAATACGTGGAATTTCGTATAATTTTCTTACTCCAGTAGAGCATATAAGCATGAATACATTTGAGGTTGACCCCCGTCAGATTCACTGCATAATGCCATAATGAAAGTGAAACCCAAGACTGATGGGCAATAGCATGCATTTAAAAATTTGATATTATACTTTACTTGCTAAATAGGTGTGTCGCAGAATTCGCTGGCTTCGTTCAACGAATATATCTGCACGGCTGGTTCAACACTCACTTTTCGTTTTACAAAGTTTATTTCACACAAATACTATACGTTAATTACAACAATCCGGTCTTTTACTTTACGACCTCTAACCATTCTAACTAAATTAGCGTTCGTCACAACATTTTATAACTTCGGTCCGGAAACCGTACCTACATATTTTCATCATGCAATACATACAATAATCGGTTATTAGCATACTTTGGCTTGAATTCAGCTTATCTATAACGAACTTACAATTATCTTTGACATACATGCGTCACACAACTAATTGAAATAAGAATAAGTGTTATTAGTATAATTTTGCAAGACACAGTTTCAACATATTTACAGCACATATATATTATAATAAAATTAAAGTTATAAATCCGACACTCTCCCCCCCTTGACTCACCTACGAGTCAAGCATCGCCTTTGTTTTCCACCTTGCGTCTATTGCAGCACTCCTTTTTTGTCGCCTCTCTGTACCGTCGACCTTTCTCTTAACCACATCCAAATTCACCTCACCAACTTCCTTGATTTCATCCCCTTTCTTTACCTCAACAGGGTACAAATGCTGACAAGGCCTGCTTAAGAGTTGCCTTCGACCATTTGTCATCACATACACCTTAGCACCACGTACAACATTATCCTTGCCATGAATCAACTCATGCACAACACCTGTCTTCCACTCCCCCCTTTTCTTTCCCTGCGCAAACACAATGACCACATCTCCAGGCTTCACAATCACAGATCCTTTCGCAGACACGCCAACCTTGTGAAACTCTCTTAGGTTTGTAAGATATTCCCGTTTCCACCTGTTCAGGAAGTGCTCCAAAATGGTACTCAAATATTTGAAGCGTACAATGGTATTGCCCTTGGTAGAATCCTGTCCTAACTCCCTAACATCTACCTCAGTACTATCTGGTAATGTAGTAATTCGTCTACCGTAAACTAAATGTGAAGGTGTAAGCACCTCACTGCTTACCTCGTCATATTCGTATGTCAGCGGTCGCGAGTTTAGATTAGCTTCGACTTCAACCAGAACTGTCCCCAATTCATCAAACGTGAGCCTTGAATTTCCTAAAACTTTCCTTAAAGAAACTTTAACAAGACCTATCAGTCTTTCAAAAAACCCTCCCCACCATGGGGCCCTTTCCAAATTAAATCTCCAATCTACTCCTTATTGGTTAAACAATTCTTAACTTCTTCGCTTCAGAATAACTCGCGCAGTGCCTTCTTTGCGGCTTGAAAGGTTTTAGCATTGTCCGAAATCATTATTTTTGGTGTCCCTCTTCTCCCTACAAACCTTCTAAAACAACGTAGAAATGTAGCCGTTTTCAAATCTTGCACTAACTCAAGGTGCACCGCTCGGGTCACGCAACAAGTAAATACCGCGATGTAAACCTTACTCGTGCCGCTCTTTGTTTTAGCAAACAAAGGTCCTGCAAAATCTACGCCTGAATTTTCAAATGGTGCTGCTCTATTGACGCGAAATTCTGGTAACGCCGCTTGCTGTGGCTTTGCACATGCCTTGCTATTCCATCGCATATTAGACATGTATTAATTGCTCGTTTCACCTCTTGTCTGCCCTTCGCTATCCAATACTTTGACCTGAGCTGAGCTAACGTTGGCCTAACTCCACTATGCATAACTGACTCGCGACACTGTGCTATGACTAACTCTGTGAACTTGTGCTTTCTGCGCAGAACTATCGGCTCTTTTGCTTCGGTATCCAACTCAGAACTGCCTAATCTTCCTGTACAGTGAAGTACCTCGTCTTTTTCTACCAAAACATACTGTCCCTAGTAGGTTACCCCCCCCCCCATTCAATAACGGAAGTGATTCAAACGAATGACGTCATCAGGGGGTGTACGTCCGAGCGTTCGTACTTAGCGTTCGTCCAAGCGTTCGTACTTAGCGTTCGTCCAAGCGCTCGTACTTAGCGTGCGTCCGAGCGTTCGTACTTAGTGTACGTCCAGTTTAGTAAGCATTGCGTAATTGTATTGCACTTGTGTATTAATTGATGCATGCAGTCAACCAACGCAGTATCTTTGGCAACGATATTTTGCTTCTTTATTGTACGATTTCGTGTTACCCTCATTATCTCCCTTTTGAGCACGCAGCGAAACATTTTAAGAACTTTGGGAAAGATCATATACCTCTCTGTGAAATACACGAGATTTTTTTTTTTTCTCCTGTTTGATATATTGAACTAGCGAACTGAGATGAGCGATGATATTTATTATATGCAAATGTTTAAGTCGCATTTAGCTTACTTCTCTGTGAAATAAATGAGATTTGATTAATTTATCGCTTTTTCATTGCTTTGCTCCTTTGTGAAATACACGGGATTTGATTAATTTTTATAGCTATTTGAGATATTGAACTAGCGAGCTGAGATGAGCCATTATAGTTATTATATGTAAATGTTTTATGTCAAAATATGGTTGAGATTAATAATGCTAAACATACGCCTATTGCGATAGGTATGAGTGCGTGTGTAAGAGTGAAGAGTGAGTGTCTTATGTTATCGTATGAGGAGAGATTGCAGAATTATGCGAGCTTCGAATAATGAGGTATAATTCCCGAGAAAATAGGGAACAGCAGTTTGTTTTATTGTATTGTATTGTGAACTTTATTTAGTCACGGTGGACTCATCAGGATTTTACACACTTATGATAAAGTAACAAAGGAAATTAGATATATGATAAATTATACTATACATATTTACAAAACTACCTGTTTTTCATGAGTGCCGTGCATTAAATTGATAAAATTAGATAAAATATTTAAAAATTATTGAATAAAGTTGCTACAGTCAGACTTAAATTTATGTAAAGTACTAGCCTGTCTTAACTCAGTAGGAAGAGAATTCCACAGTACTGCACCGCTATAACTAAAGCTATTTTTCAAGTAATTAGTACGCGGTAGTGACAAAGCTAGTTTGTTACTGGTGTCTCTCAATGCATAATTTGTGATACTATTGCGATCAACAAACATATTAGAAAGATAATCTGGAGCAAGACCATTCAAGGATTTATACACCATGATAGCCTTGGTAAGCCTACGCTGAGATACAAGATTTTTCCATCCAAGACTTTCGAAAAGATAATCGGCATTTGTATCATAACTAGAAGATGTCAATACCCTGGCAGCACGATTTTGTAATTTTTGCAATTTGTTAACTAGATAACTACTGCAACTATCCCAGACAGCAGAGCAGTAGTCGAAATATGGTTGAACTAAGCACTTGTAAATAAGTTGCATTGTGGTAAAAGGAACATAAGGTCTAATGCGTTTTAGTGCACCAATACCGGAAGCAACTTTTTTACTCAGTTTCTCAATATGAACATTCCAGGATAAGTTCTCATCAATGTGTACGCCGAGTGATTTTGTATGAGAGACTTGTTTAACTGGAACGTTATTTATTACTAATAAAGGAGTAGATTGAAAAGTGTTTATTCTTTGGCGAGAGCCAATTAGCATAAATTCAGTTTTAGTCTGGTTTAAAGTAAGTTTGTTTGCTGATAACCATTCACTGACATTAGCAAGATCCTCGTTAAGATTATGATTAATTTCATGTATGTTATTACTTGCATATGTCAAATTAGTGTCATCAGCAAACATTCGTGCCCGAGAGTGTATTAGACAATTAGGAAGATCATTAATATAGATTAAAAATAAAAGCGGGCCTAATATAGTTCCCTGAGGAACCCCACATTGTAGTAATCGATTCGAGGAGAAATGACCGTTAACAAAACACTTTTGATTACGTTCATTTAGATACGATCTTAACCAGTTACCCGCAGTTCCCTTGATTCCATATGCATTAAGTTTGTTCAGCAATATTTCATGATCTACAGTGTCGAACGCTTTTTTAAGATCAAGAAACATTACAGCATTTACATTACCACTGTCAATATTATAAGCCCATTCGTTGGTAGCCTCAAGAAGAGAGGTGACAGTAGAATGTAGGCCTCGAAATCCCGATTGATAATTAGTTAATAATTCATTTTCAGCTATAAATGTATATAGCTGATCATAAATTACCCTTTCAAAAACCTTAGCCACAATAGGAACAATAGAAATGGGACGATAGTTATCAACGCAATTGCGTTTGCCTTGTTTGTATATAGGAATAACTTTAGCACATTTCCATTCGTTTGGGAATATGCCTGTAGTGATAGAACGATTAAAAATAAGACAGAGGGATTCTGCAATTAAGTCAGAGCATTCTCTAATTAACCTAGAAGATATTTTGTCTAAACCTGTTGCTTTAGAAGTGCTTAACGTGGACAGTAATGCGTAAACGGTTGGAATACTTATTTCCCTCAGTTGAAAAATAGCATTATTTTGGTTAGGTAAATAATCAAGATAAGACCGATTGCTATAATTAAGATTAATTTTATCTGCAAGGTCTGGTCCGATGTTTGAAAAGTGATCGTTAAACGCATCAGCAATTTTGCTAGGGTCATTAATTAATACGCCATTCAAATCAACCTCGCCAATGTGAGGGCTTTTCCTATTCTTAGAAGTAAGTTCATTAATGATCTTCCAGGTCTTATTAGGATTGTCTTTATTATCATTGAAAGAATTTTTGAAATAGGCTTGCTTTGCGTAGAAGATTTCAGAATTAACAAAATTACGCATTTTCTTAAAAGAAAGCCAATCTTGAGTATCGTTGGAACGAATTGCTTTAATTTTTAGGACATCTCGCCTATGCATTTTATCTTTCAAAAGAGATGTGATCCAAGGCGATTTAATAGCCTTAACGCGCTTAGCTCGAATTGGGGCGTGCTTATCTGCGACAGAATTGAATGTGGCTTTCCAAGCATGCCACATGTCATTAGGGTTTTCGTACTGATTGATATAGTTCCAACTCTGTTGACTAATATCATTACGAAATTTAGTAGAATCAAAGTTTTTAAACTTTCTGTAGTTTATTGAAGAATGTACCCCCGTCGATGAACCCACAGAAAGTTTGCGAAAGGCGTAAATAAGACTATGATCGCTTATACTCACATGAGAAACACCAGAGCAAACAACCTTGTCAGGAGTATTTGTGAAAATATGATCTAATAATGTTGAGGAGGAGTCTGTGATTCGAGTAGGTTCATTTATAAGCTGAGAAAGATTATATAAATCGGCAATATCCATGAGTGACTTCGAATCATGATCTAAGACTGTAGAGCTCAAATCACAGTTGAAGTCGCCCATGAGGTAATACTCGATATTTTCGGAATCGAGCATACCTAGAAGAATTTCAAAATAATTAAACATTGCTACAGGCGAATTAGGAGGCCTGTACCAAGTGGTAATAAGAAAAGGCTTGGCTCTAGGTTTATTAACTGAAATACACAGGTTTTCCAATTGCTCAAAAGATAGATCATGCCGAACTGAAAAATTTATACAGCTACGAATATAAAAACAAACCCCACCGCCAAATCTACCATTGGAATCTCTATCTCGCCTAACAATTTCGTATCCAGGTATATGTACTTCGTTGTCACCAACCGTAGAGTCAAGCCTTGTCTCATTAATAGCCAGTACATCAATCACATTATTTGATAGATAGATTCTAAGCTTTGTCTGCCACGGCTGGGTCTTGAACCCGCGACCTTCGAATTACTAGATCGACGCTCTACCAACTGAGCTACACGGTCAGACGGATTTAAGACTGGAAATTATGAAATATATACTGAATGTCATAAACATACTCGTTTATATTAATTCAGCATCGAACAATACTAGTTATGCAAGAGTTATGTTAGTTGTGTTATTGTACACTCTGTAATATGTTAAGCATATAATCCCC